CTCCAATGACAGGGACGGAATATACTTTATTATAATCAATCTTTCTTTCTTTATAACTTTGAATATCTTTCCATTCGGAAAAAACAATGTCTTTGTCCCCAACAAGAGAAAGTATAGTATGAAATAAATCATTTCCCATTATTTTTTCCATAGTTTGCGATAAGCTTGCATTAATGGTGCATGAGAATAGATCAACTGGATTTTTCAATTCATGGTATCCTATTTCCTCTGTTGCTTGAGTTTCTGACATAAGAATGAAATAAATATCAAAAATAAGATTATGAGAAGTTAAATCAAATTTTTATAAAAAATAAAAATATCTTAAAAAATAAATATTATTTTTAAATAATTAAATTTAAAATTAATTTTATATATAATTTATATTAATTTAATTTATTAAAAAATTCAAAAAATTGCTATTTATTCAATAAATCATTAAAAAAATAAACTGGAATCGATATCAATTTTGAGAACTAGACTTAGCAGCCTCTCAATTCTTATCAATTTTAATAGAAATTTTGAGTTAAACGATCATGTTTTTTAAATCGAATTTTTAAATTCTGATATTTTTTTTTCGATTATTGCTATAGTTATATCTTTGAAAATATTTAATAAAATAATATATTTTATTTTGATTTATGTTTTATTAATTTATATATATTTCAATTATACAATAATAATGGTACAAATTTAATTTAATATTAAAACTTAAAATCAGCTTTGAAAAAAGAAAACGAATTAATTGAAAAATTGAAAAAAATTGAGTCTTCAGAAAACCAAAAGCGGCTTTTTCAAATACATTCAATATTTGAGAATAAAAATATTGATAACTCATTCAAAAAGTTTTTTCAAAAAGCCAAAATAACGATATCGCAATTTTAATGATCTCAAAAAGTTTGAAATAATTTTTTTTATTCAATTTCATTCAAAAGTATTACATCTCTTCCCATGATTTTGTAATCAAAGGAAACATCTGCATATAAAAGAATTGCATAATTTATTTATTGTATCTATTATGAATTAGCAAGACAACTGGAGCAGAATAAAACATCTATCTTTTATTGTATCTCATCCCTGTATCAACTCTATAACATTTTTATTTTTTATATCATTTCCTGCTCTCAATCGTCATTATAAGAAATCAACCAAATTAATATTATTCTGCTCATATTCATGCGTTTTTGACTAAAAAGCTTATATTAATATTATTTTATGTTTTTTATTGTTTTATATAAAGAAATTTGTGAGAATAAATGCTCAATTTATTGAAAAAGTTTAAAATTTTAAAGTTTATTTGGTCTAATAAGTAAAATCATATTTCTGGGCATGATTGCAATGAAATGATTCTATTTTCCCTAGTTTAATTTTAATTAAATATAATAATCTATCAAATAGTAATTAAAATTCTACCAAAAAATATCATTTTATAAAATTTATAGAGATTTGAACAAAATTGAATCATTCAAATTAAGTAATAAGCGTGGTAATTAAAAAATGGATACATATTAATAATAATAGCATAATAATTTTTGAAAAATTTCACTTTTTTTATAATTTGGGAATATTATGCTAATCAAGTCAAATATTTGCAGATTTACTTAATGATTTATATAATTATAAATGATATTAATTGGAATTTACAATTTATAATAAAGTTAAATTCCAACATTGGAAGATAGAAATTATAATCAAATAGTTTTTGTAAAAAATGGCTTCAAAAGCATTGCAAAAAAATCTTAAGTAGGTATAATAAAGAAATTAATATTTACTTTTGTTTAATTAAAAAATTTTCTTGTGAAATTTAATTCAATAATGTCAATTTCTTTAAATAGACTCCAAACTTATATAACAAATAATATATATGCTAACTAAGAATAAAATGATAAAATAAACATTCTAAAATTTAAAGAAGTTTTTTTTTATTATATTTGTGATTTTGCCATCAGAAAAAAAAATTGAGATATACCAAATCTGACTAGTTCATTATATAAAACACCCAATATTAAATATAATGATATGCCAATAAACAAAATTAGAATATTTTCAAAAAAGATATTAGTGATTGAAAATTGGTGATATTTAAAAGTAACTGAATTGATTTAATCTGTTATCATTTTGCTATAGAGCATATGCTAACTAAGAAAAAAGTCATTAGCCAAAATCAGTTATATCTATCACATATGGAGAAAAATGCAATTCTTTGATTTCGAGTAAATTATAAACGGACAAAAAATATAACCATTTTTACGAAATAATCAAAATTGAATGCTTTTTATATAAATAAACTAATATCATTCAAAAAATAATTTTTTTTCTTTTTAAAATTTCTGAGAATTTCAATTAAAAAAATAAAAATGGCGCAAAACTGCAATGTCGATATTACTACGGGTAAAAAAACTTGATAATGTATGATTAATTTTTTTTTATTCAAGATCGATTAATACTTATTTATTATTGGATTTGAACCACTATGCAGTTTTTTAGAATAGAGAGCTGACGGAATTGTAAAATATTTAAGTGATTTGCACTCACCAAATGCAAGTATATCGATCATTTCGACAGATGGCGGGATTGAAACACTTTGCAAGGATGAACAATATCCAAAAGCTTGTTGTTCAATGACTTTTAACGATGATGGAAAATCAACGCATTCAAGTGATGAACAATGATGAAAAGCTTCTTGGCCAATGAGTGTCAAAGTTTGTGGAAATTTGATACTTTCTAGTGATTCACAATTACTGAATGCTGAAAATTTAATTGTTGTAAGGCCTTCTGCAAAAGAGATTTGTTTCAAGGAAGTGCAATAGGAAAAAGCAAATGAATCAATGACTTTCACAGACGATGGAATTTCTATAGTTTTCAGTGAAATGCATCTTAAAAATGCCGAATGTCCAATGATTTTTGTGGTTGGTGAAATAGCAACTTTTTTCAGCAAAGTGCATTGTTTAAGAGCATAATTTCCAATGGAGGTTAAGAATGAAGAAAATGTGACTTTTTTAAGTTTTTGACAAAGGCCAAAACAATATTCATTTGTTCTAATTCCTGGTTGATTAAACAAAAAATTAATAACTTTTTGATTGTTGCGTTGACCTGCAAAATTAATTAAAGGAAGATTAAAAAAAGTATGTTTTAAATTTTATTTACAAAATAATTATTTATAAATCACATAAAAATAATGATTTCTCAAATTTTATTAAATAATTAATTCTGAATTAGATCAAAAAACAATATAAAAAGAAACATTATTCAAAATATTTAATTTTTTAATGTTATTTAAATTTTAGATATTTTAAAACTCCATTTAAATTATTGAAAACTTTATTCAAACCATTTGTTATTGAAACTTGATTTATGATTTTATAAATAAAACTATGTTTAAAAGATATAATTTTGAATTTCATTCAAAAAAATTTTTTTTTTAATTTTATTCAAAAGATAGAATTTTGAATTGTATTCAAATATTTGAATGGAATGCTATTCAATCATTTAATTTTTGAAATTATATTCAAAATATTTTTGCTTGAAAATTTTGATTTTAACTTCATAAAAAAAATACTTTGTTTGAATTATGCATTTATTCAAGTCTATTCTTTTTGAATTGACTAAAAGTTTAACAATTGGTAAATTATCATATAAGCAAGCATAAAAAAGTGACAATTGCAAATTTGGCGAATCTTTTGCATAATCATTTAATATTTCAAAATTATAATAATGAAATCCATAACAAACTGGATTCGTATTGAAATTTGTTTCATTTATTTCAATTGTTTGATTTATCATTTGATTATTCAAAAAGTAATTTACAAGTTCGTTATGATGACACTTGATTGACTCTTTAAGACATTCCATGAAGGTTTTGTCTTCAGGCTCAATTTTATCTCTCTCCAAAGTGTGAATAATCTCCGGATTCCTTCCATGAATCGCATAAATCCACAAAGAAGGCGTCAATTCGAAATGCTTAAATCGAAGATGATTGAAAATTTGATTCGAGCCATGGAAAGCCGCATATTCAATCAAACTCGCTGGTCTTGAAATCAAAAGAGGATTTGTTTCAAAAATTGATGGTGGAATTTCACTTGGCAAATTAACTTGATTTGAATACTTTATAAAATCTACAATATTATCTTCTCGAATCAATTTGGCAACAATTGAATCATTTTCACCTATTTGACACTTTTGTTCAAAGTCTTGTAAAATGTTTTCATCCATTTTTAGAAGCTTTGATTCAATAGCTGACTCAAATCCACTGTGAAAATCTGACTTTGTATCCATGTAGAAATAATAAATGTAATTTTCAAAGATTTTCGTTGAATTGAAGTGTTTTCCCTTTTGCATTTCCATTTTATGCATGTCTATATCTTTTTCTTCATCATATTGGCGATATATAAATTCATCAAGTGGCTTTTTGTTCATTAATTTGCCGAAATGCGAAATATATTTTTCATTAATGAAAAAATGCAGAATTTGCATATTTTTTTGGAAAATTTGTATGAGGTCTTTTTGTGTGAAGTTTTGTTTGATATATTCCTCGTAATTCGAAAAAAATCGTTTAATTTTTTCAAAATGTGTAGATGAGCGATGATGATTTTTGTTGATTCCGCTAATTAAATAGAGTATTGTTTTAAATTCATCTGGGCTTTCGAGATAATTACTCTTTTTTAGGTTTGCATTTAATTCATCAAAATTCGTATCAATATTTTCTTCATCGTCAATGAAATGCATAAAATGTTCATACATTTCATTCTTTAATCCTAAATATTGTTGGTATTCTTGATATTCCATTCTGGATTTAGAGAATTTGAAAATTAGACAAAAAAGTATAATTTAACCGCTTTTTTTACAACTTTTTTGTCAATTAAAAAAAAAAAAATCAATCTGCGGCAAATTTAACGTATGATTTCCCCATTCAATATTTAAAATAAAATAAAACATGATGCATGAAACCGATTTAACCGATTTTAATTTTTTTAAAAAAAAAAAAAAAAAAAAAATCAAAAAAATGCCTTAGGAAGGAATCGAACCTCCTCAAGATGTGTGTTAGACATCTATTCTGACCATTAAATTACCAAGGCTTTCTTTTATTCTTTTTCGTTATATTATCATTGCCAATATCTTGTGATTTGTCATATGGTTTTCTTCGTATCTCTTCCTTTATATTTATATATGGTGATTCAGATAATCCTTTAATTGAAGTTGAATATAAAGGTAAAACAAAACAGTTTTCTCCTGAAGAAATACTATCTATGTTTTTTACATATTTGAAAGAAACAGCCAAAGCACAATTGACCAAGAAATAAATCTATAAAAGTTCAATATGCAAATATTGGTATTCCAGCCTATTACACCGGAAACCAATGCAAAACAATTAAAAGGGCTGCTGAACCTATCATTGATCAACCCGTATCGCAACCTACTCAACAGTCTACATTTCGATCTGGGCAGCAGAATTAAAATTAAATCACGTTATACGACGCTAAGTATGAAATCATCGACCCAAACCAGTAAAAATGACTTTCAACAACGAAGCCTTCCATAAGACATCGGCTGATGAGGTCAATACCCAAGTAGCTAGCTATTTCGATATAGTCGGCAACGCTATCGCTACGTCCGACACCAATAAGAAATACGTTATCGATGCTCAGCACCTGTTCATATAATTTAAAGCATTATATAATTTCCAAAAGATGACATAATACCAACAGATTCAAAAATATGAATATTTATTCATTGGATCCAACGATCAAGTCTTGCTATTCAAATAAATAAAAAAATAAAAAAAAAAAAGAAATCAAAAAAATGCGAAGCCCAGGATTCGAACCCAGTCTTTGGACGCGGCAGGACCACTTTGCTACCATTACAACAGCTTCGCTTTACATGTGAACATATTTATATATGTATATATATTGATATTAATGTTAAATTTTAAACAAAATTTAAGATTGATAATCATCTTTTGAAAATTTAATTTTATTTGCAATAAACTAGTTTATTCTCTGAAAAAGTTTTATCTTTTTAAAGTATTTCTCCAAAATTTAACGAACTCAATCCAAAGTGATACCTTTCTGCTTTTGATTGCAGTAAAACGATTTTGTATGATGTGAACGATGTGTTATTTTGAAACAAAAACTGTTTCTTTTCATTATTTGCCCATTCAACACCGCCAAACCTACGAAGAAATGTGAAGTTGCTTTTATCATTGCTTGCATAAACCTCAAAAAGTATCGGTGCTTGGTTATTAAGACCGTTTCGTGATGTCAATGATAGAACATTTGCACATTTTGGAGTTGAAAAGTTTATTTGGAGGAAATCACTTTCCGCAATTTGTGTTGCCCATCTGTTGTCTCCATCTCTCTCATTCTTCCCTGTGAAGAGGTTCTGAGGGCCGTGATTATCTCTATTTTCCCATGTTGCTGAAACAATCACTTCGTATGTTTGATCTTGGTAATTCAGAGTATAATTGGTCGGAGTTATTTTTGTCCATTTTTGACCAAGAGGAACAAAGAAATTATAACGAAAATGATCAGATTCGTGCTCTTCCATTAGGTTAAACCTCAATTCGCGAATTATTTGCGCCATTTCGATGATTCTCGATTGAAGCAGATCGTTTTTTTGCTTTAGAGTGGCAATTTCTTTTTCGTTCTGTAAATTAATTGATGAATCATAATTGGGCATCATTCCACCTCTTTCAATCCGCTTCTCAATTGAATCAATGAGGTTTTCTCGGCTGAGTTTCTGGGCATCGATTGATGTGAGGAGGACAAAAATGTTCAGATTATTGTTTTGTTCATAGTTGCGTTTGATTAGCTCGTAACAAAGATTGTGCTGTGTGAATTTTCTGTCCTTATGGTTGAAAATCGAATAAAGTGATTGAATTGGTGATTGGAGTAAACGTTCACCACAATTTAATATGAAATCATCAAGGTTTTCTGCAATATTTAGCTCTGCTTGTGAAGTATCTTGATCAGATTGATTAAGAATTTGTAATTCTGAAAGATATTGGTCTATTGTGCCTTGAAAAGATAATAATACGTTTCCCATGATATTGAATTCTTGGCTTAGTAGAGAAAAATCATGCTTGTTTTGGAAATTGATATTTGGTTTTTTATTGTCAATTAAATATTGAATAAAGGATTCAAAAACATCTTCTTTAACAAATGATTTTACGATATATTTTTGATTTTCAATGAGGTCTTTATAAATATTGGCTGAAATATCATCTAGTTTAGGGAATTGAGAAGGAATAAAATAACTTTTGGAGTTAAGAATTAAAATAAATTGTCTTTGCATCTATAATTTTGGTTAAATCGTCGATATTTGCAATTTTTAAATATTTTTAATTTTTATCCACCATAAACTTTTTCAGAGAATAATCTATTCAAATATTAATATTTGAGAGCGCTAACGAATGAACCTTTTTTTTGTCTACAAAAAATTGTTTTATATATTAGAGACAAAATGAATATCTGTTCTTTTTTATTTTTATTGACCTAAAAAAATTAAAAATAATTTGTCTCTAATATCGACGTTGCAGTTTTGCGCCATTAGAGGCGGAATGACAAACTATAGAAAAAGTTACACCATTTTTTTCTGAGGAAAATTCGTTATTCTGACTTTTTGAGTTAATTGAGAAGGCATACAAAAAGTTCTAAAATTTTCTTGTAAAGTTTTGAAAAAGTTCACTAAGATAAAACCATGAAAAAGCGCCATTTTTATAGAACTAAACCAATCAAAGAAACCGAGATGACGACATTGCCGCCCATAGCAAGACCACGATCAGCAATGCTTAGCAGCTAGCTGGTTGTAACTGCGGCGAGTCGTCATCCGGACAAAGATATCACGATTTCATCCGGAAGATCTGGAATGACGACATTGCCGCCCATAGCAAGACCACGATCAGCAATGCTTAGCAGCTAGCTGGTTGTAACTGCGGCGAGTCGTCATCCGGACAAAGATATCGCGATTTCATCCGGAAGATCTGGAATTGACGACATTGCCGCCCATAGCAAGACCACGATCAGCAATGCTTAGCAGCTGGCTGGTTGTAACTGCGGCGAGTCGTCATCCGGACAAAGATATCACGATTTCATCCGGAAGATCTGGAATGACGACATTGCCGCCCATAGCAAGACCACGATCAGCAATGCTTAGCAGCTGGCTGGTTGTAACTGCGGCGAGTCGTCATCCGGACAAAGATATCACGATTTCATCCGGAAGATCTGGAATGACGACATTGCCGCCCATAGCAAGACCACGATCAGCAATGCTTAGCAGCTAGCTGGTTGTAACTGCGGCGAGTCGTCATCCGGACAAAGATATCGCGATTTCATCCGGAAGATCTGGAATGACGACATTGCCGCCCATAGCAAGACCACGATCAGCAATGCTTAGCAGCTGGCTGGTTGTAACTGCGGCGAGTCGTCATCCGGACAAAGATATCACGATTTCATCCGGAAGATCTGGAATTGACGACATTGCCGCCCATAGGACGACCACGGTGGCAATAAAAAGATGAAAATAAAACAAACAAAAAACAAACAAAATTGATTATTTAATATTATTATTACGATTTTTTAATTTTTTTATTTTGATAAAGCTTATTTAAAATATTCTGAGTCTTCTCAGAAATTTGTTAAATTTTTTTTTTTATAAATATATATAACTTTTTGAAAGAATTATGGTCTTTTTATATTTATGGAAGAAGACCAAAATCTTTATTATTCAGCGAAATATCTATTTCATACGCAAAGACCTAATTCTTTAAAAGATAAAGTTCTAAAATTTTCTTGTAAAGTTTTGAAAAAGTTCACTAAGATAAAACCATGAAAAAGCGCCATTTTTATAGAACTAAACCAATCAAAGAAACCGAGATGACGACATTGCCGCCCATAGCAAGACCACGATCAGCAATGCTTAGCAGCTAGCTGGTTGTAACTGCGGCGAGTCGTCATCCGGACAAAGATATCACGATTTCATCCGGAAGATCTGGAATGACGACATTGCCGCCCATAGCAAGACCACGATCAGCAATGCTTAGCAGCTAGCTGGTTGTAACTGCGGCGAGTCGTCATCCGGACAAAGATATCGCGATTTCATCCGGAAGATCTGGAATGACGACATTGCCGCCCATAGCAAGACCACGATCAGCAATGCTTAGCAGCTAGCTGGTTGTAACTGCGGCGAGTCGTCATCCGGACAAAGATATCACGATTTCATCCGGAAGATCTGGAATGACGACATTGCCGCCCATAGCAAGACCACGATCAGCAATGCTTAGCAGCTAGCTGGTTGTAACTGCGGCGAGTCGTCATCCGGACAAAGATATCGCGATTTCATCCGGAAGATCTGGAATTGACGACATTGCCGCCCATAGGACGACCACGGTGGCAATAAAAAGATGAAAATAAAACAAACAAAAAACAAACAAAATTGATTATTTAATATTATTATTACGATTTTTTAATTTTTTTATTTTGATAAAGCTTATTTAAAATATTCTGAGTCTTCTCAGAAATTTGTTAAATTTTTTTTTTTTTTAATAAATATATATAACTTTTTGAAAGAATTATGGTCTTTTTATATTTATGGAAGAAGACCAAAATCTTTATTATTCAGCGAAATATCTATCTCATACGCAAAGACCTAATTCTTTAAAAGATAAAGGATTAAGAACATTCATTGAAATTGTTCCTTTGCATTCTCAGAATTTCAATATCATTTCGCTAATCCTTTTCCTCGATAGCTTAACCAAAGAATTTATATGCAACAACAAAAGAGTTTATAATGACATTTTTTCGTTTAGTTGCTGTAATAAATCAAAGATAAATACTGAAATTCAAATATTTAGCATAACTGTCAAAAACGATTTGGAAACCATTAAAGTTCTCGCTAGAGATCAACTCCTTGAAAACCAAACTATGAAAGTTGTTACTATTGATTTTGAAGAATGTATCATGACGTCGCCATATACTTTGAAAAATAAAGAGTGTCCTTTTTTGACTCAAGATTTTTGGAATAAACAATGTAAACATAAAAATTCAATGCTTTATACTTTTTGTAATTACGTAGCTCGAAAAAATTCTAATTTTCCAATATTTATAAAATTTGCTTTTCAAAACTTTTTAGATAAAAGAACCTTGCGTAGAAGAGCCGTTAGTTTTCAAGGTTATGATGATTTTTATAAAATTTTATTGCATTTACCTGGTTTTGTTTATATTGAGATAAGTACTCAAAAAGTTCAGGACGATGGATTTGCATTTAAATTTAATAATGATTTTGCTTTTATTAAAAATATAATATGGATTATGCCTTGGGCTTTAGAAGTTATAAATTATATGCATTATTTGCAAATTGATGCTTCTTTTTATGCGCTTAAGCCTTACAAATTTTGTATATACCATTCAATTTATTTCAATTCAAGTTTTCCTTTCGCATTATCAATTGGCCCTAAAGAGAACCGTTTTTTATATAATTTATTATTTGATGGATTAAATAAGTTTTGTTTAAATAAAAATGTTTTTGAAAATAAAGTTGTTTTATCAGATTTAGGTTCTCCTATCAAAAAGTTCTGTAAATTACATTCAAATATTCAATATTTTTGTCATCGTCATATTATACAAATATTTGGACCTAAATCATCATTAGGCATATGGGTTGCAAGGTTATTGAGATGCAAAACATATTTAATATATAAACAAGAAAAAGAATTTATTTTAGTTGAAATGGACGAATATAAAAAAGATCCAAATTCACCTTTATTTGACGATACCGATCAAGATAATGAAAAAAAACAAAAATTAAAAGATTTTGAAATTATGTTAAAAGATATAGATGAAGTGGAAAGAATGCCAAATAAAGAAGAAATTAAAAAAA